GTTTTGTAAGGGAATTATTGATGGTTGTATTATTACTATGTTCTTATTTGAAAGAAACCTGATAAACTCCTCTTGAAGAAATATTTGGCACTAGCCTCTATTCTTACAACTTCTTGGGCATCGTGATAATGATACAAGTGCAGACGCCTCGCCTTGAAGAGGCTGAATAGGTATGATGGCATGCCCCCAGTCTATCACGTCTATTAAAAGAAGCTTGATACGGCGTAGAGGGGGAATAGCTGAATGATGACCACTTTGAAGTCCACCCTGAAATTCAAACCCATCATCACATTGGAAACATGTCCCTTCAACTTCACTTCTTCAGACGGATGACAGTTATCGATACTGCGCGATACGCGAGAGACAGACAAGGCGCGCTGAGTAAATGAGCAGATCTCTTCCCGAAGATGATCAGAATCAGAATCATCAGAGGAGTCCATAACTTGAGATGTGAGAAGTAACCAGTAATAAGACATGGTTGTTGACGTTGAGTCTCAACTTCTGCCAGAGTCTGCCCGTGAATACGCAGTTTGAAATATCGTCTGAGACGAGTTCGGTGAGTGAGACATGGCAGCATGCTCCTTTGAGTGACCACAGCAAGCAGCAAGCAGGGGCTCAACAGCTGAGAGGTTTGAGGGCAGAATCTCCGTATCGTATCATAGTTTCCGTAATGCACTTGATAAGCAGAAACATCTGATGGTTCTTTGCCAAAAAGAGCAGTCCGCCTAGACAAAAGCAAGACTGGTCGGAAAACCAAATACAGCTAGCACGGTGCGGGGAGACTAAATGAGGGGATGCGGAGAGGATGCATGTTGCTCGGGTGCATCACGGGCAACGCCATGCCTCACCGGTTCGGCGGTTTTGGGTTAGCGAAGAATACGTGTCCGGGGCTTACACACAGCCATATGAAAAGGCCGACTTGCGGCTTGATGTGTCAAGTTGTACTCAAACTACCTTGCCTGTATCCTCCAGCTTCACGCATGAAATCTCTCACTCACTGCACCACTGTCTATCGCTGCATTAACTGAAACTTCTCTCACCATGTCTCCCAAGATCCTGCAAGTTGGCGTAGTTGGCGGTGGTGACGTTGCACAGATCGTTCACCTTCCAACCTTTATGTTTCTGTCTGATCTCTTCAAGGTCGTCACCATTTGCGACATTTCACGCAAGACGGCCGATCATTGTCGTGCCAAATTCAACATCCCCCACGCAACCACAAACCCAGACGACATCTTCAATGACCCGGCCATTGATGTCGTCGTCATCCTAACATCTGACGAGTACCACGCCCCGTATACCATTGCTGCACTGAAGGCCGGGAAAAACGTCTTGCTCGAGAAACCCATGACGCTCAGTCTGCAAGCCGCCGACGAGATTATCGACGCCGAGACCAAGGCCCCCAATAATGCCCGCGTCTTTTTGGGCTACATGCGACGTTACGCTCCAAGCCTCCAAGCCTTCAAACGTGAGATCGCCTCCGTTGAAAAGATCAAGTACGCTCGCGTTCGCGACATTATCGGCCCCAATGCCTATTTCATCGGGCAATCGGGAGCATACTCTCAAAAGTACCATGATGACATACCAACCGAGGTGTCGGAGGACAGAAAGGCGCGACTGGCCGTCTTACTAGGCCAAGCCTGGGGACAAGAGCCGGAATCGCTCACAGCCGCGCAGATGGACTACTGCTGTCTCCTCGGCAGTCTCGGGAGTCACGGTCTCAGCCTCATGAGGAATGTGCTAGGTGGCCTCCCGGAATCGGTTCTCGCTTCGACGGACAACGCGCGCTGGTACACGGCCATGTTCGAGTACCGAAACGGCACCGCCCCCGACGACAGGTTCACGTGCGTCTACGAGATGGGCATTGACTCGGTGCCGAGATTCGACTCTCATGTTGCCGTCTACGGGGAGAACAAGACTGTCACGATTTGCTATGATACGCCGTTCGTCAAGGGCCTCGGCATCACGGTGGAGATTGACGAGCTGAACGAGCACGGTGAAAAGTCCCACAGGTCTCTCCAAACCTCGTACGAGGATGCCTACACTGCAGAGTTGAAAGAGTGGTATGAGACTGTGGTTCACGGCAAAGAAGTCAAGACGTCTGCCAATGACGCTCGAGATGATTTGATACTGTTCAAGATGATGATGGATAAGTTCCCCGAGCACAAGAAGATCAAGAACTTGTCCGATAGCACGCCTTTCGTACCGAGCGGCCCTTGAATGCCACGCACACCAAATATCACTGCATTGCTATTCAGTACAGTATTGAACAAAATTTCGCCTGTTTGCCATCTCCGAACCCGTGAATGACGTTGTCTCTTCCGCCTGTTGGGGAAACCCAGATGCGCTTATCACTTACACCGACTCGGGTGCATGACTGCCTTGATGTGACCGTATCTGAATCAGAGAAAAACTCTCTGTTTCGATGCGTACTTGCTTCGGTACTTAGATGAGGTGCTTCAAATTACTCATGTGCTGGGGTGGGTGTAGAAACTGTTGATATAATAATCACGAAGGCTTAGTTGATTTTGAATCTTGGGTGGAGAAATGGGGGATGAGTGAAGAGTCGGCTTGAGGCTAGCTCAAGATGCCGAGCTTTTCTCATTCAAAAGGAATTCATCCCGAACCGACTATACTCTTTCTACTTTGTTTCGATTAATTATGGCCTCCATGTACAGGATGTAGCAAACGTACTCTGTATTAGGGTCGACTCCAAAGAAGGGTGACACTGATTTTTGGGGACCTGCCGTGTAAGTCTTGAGGAGGTATCCGTTCATCGGACGACGCAGCGGCCTGGCAATCCCCAACATTGCGACGCCATGACAAATGCGAAGACGACATTGTCTTCCACGAGACGAGGCTGATGTGCGAGGCTGCAGCAAGCCTGCTCGCCCCAAGCTTCACTAGGTATGTTCACGGACATTGCGTCCTGTCAGTGCTAAGGCCTATCGTTGACTCTCGGACCTATGTGTCCGTTCGACCTGTCAAGTCATCCTAGTCTGCTTTTTGATCTGTTGATAAGGTATTGATTGCGCTCGTTATCTTAGTGGTAGCAAATTCGTACATGCGACAGAGGGAAGTGCCCAAACGTTGTGAACAGTCAAACTCAATTATTGCCACCATATGTTGCCAGTCACTCACAGCCCGAAACCACAGGAACGAAAACACCAAATTTTGTTGGAGCTCATGAACTCATTGAACGACTATGGCTAACGTTAAAGGAAACAGGAGGTAATATCCGTTGTCTAAGATCGTACAGTCTACAGGGGTAGTAGGTATCTACAACTTGGAAATGATGGCGCCGGCAAACTCGTTAGTCTTGGCCTTGCCGCCCAAGTCGCCGGTGAGGGCCTTTCCTTCCGCGAGGGTATCAAAAGCGGCCTTCTCGATTCTGTCGGCGTACTCGCCGAGGCTCATGTGTCTCAGCATCATCATGGAGCTGAGGAGCAGAGCGGTGGGGTTGGCCAGGCCCTTTCCGGCAATGTCGGGGGCGGAGCCGTGGACGGCCTCGAAGATGGAGCACTCGTCACCAATGTTGCCGGAGGGGGTGAGACCGAGACCACCAATGAGACCGGCGCACATGTCGGAGAGAATGTCACCGTACAGGTTGGGCATGACGAGGACCTTGTCGTTGTAGGGGAGGGGGTCGGTGACCATCTTCAGGCAGGTGTTGTCGAGGAGCTCGGCGTCGAACTCGATCTCGGGGAAGTCCTTGGCGACGTCGCGGGCGGTCTTGAGGAAGAGACCGTCGGACATCTTCATAATGGTGGCCTTGTGGACGACGCGGACCTTCTTGCGGCCAATCTCCTGGGCCTGCTGGAAGGCGAAGCGGAGGACGCGCTCGGAAGCCTCACGGGTGATGAGCTTGATGGACTGAACGACGCCATCGACGACGACGTGCTCAATGCCAGAGTATTCACCCTCGGTGTTCTCACGGATGAGGACGGTGTCGACGTTGTCGTAGGGGGTCTTGTAGCCAGCGACGGATCGGCAGGGACGGAGGTTGGCGAACAGGTTGAAGGTGCGGCGGAGAGTCAGGTTCAGGGAGACGTGGCCCTTGCCAATGGGGGTCTGCATGTTCAAGTTAGAATGGGAAGAGAATGGCTCATGGTCGGTAAACACATACGGCGAGGGGTCCCTTGAGGGCGACCTTGTTGCGCTTGATGCTCTCAATGGCGGCATCGGGGATGGCGGTCTTGCCGTCCTTGAGGATGGGGGTGACATCGACGGGCTCCCAGGTAACGGGGGCCTTGGCCGCGGCAAAGATGTCCTTGACGGCCTGGGAGATCTCGGGACCGATACCGTCACCCTCGATCAGGGAGACGGGGTAGTTGCCCTATACAAGATTGGTGATTAGTTTTGTCTTGAAGGCATGTAGATGTCGCAGGTTTGACCATCGCCAGTTGAGTGATTTTGGGCTGCGTAAAGGGCCGATTCGGGGCATTGTTGTTGCTCGAGTACCCGTCCATCTGCACATGACGAGTGACATGTGCGTTCAAGAGCAGAGAATGCAGTGTCATTGTCGAGGTCGGGGTGCGCCAACAAACAACAAAGCCGAGGTCTTTCCTTTGCGCGTAAAATTTTATGGGGCGGGTAGTAACGGAGGAGGGAAATGGCATACGTTGGAGTCCTTGACACCGTGGAACTTGGCGACACGCTCGCTCGAGTAGAATCTGGAGTTCTACATAACTGTTAGCAATTTAGTTCTATTCGAATGGCTGGCCTGTAGTAGAGGCTCTGCCCGTGTTGCATCGCCGAATCGTCACCGGCGGGCGGGCGGGATCGCGGGACGGCAAGGAACAGGATGGAGGAATTGCGCGCACCTGGAACTGAGAGACGGCGGCGGCGCGGGGAGCGGCGCGCATGGCCTGCTGCCGGAGAGGCGCAGCGAAAGTACGGGCGGCCAGCATCGTGTCTAGAGTCCTTTGGTGTTGAAGGATACGTGGAGGCGGAGGAGAGTGGTCGGGTGGGAAGGATTGGTCGTTTATCGGGAGACGGGAATTTTAAGGTCGGGAGAAGGAAGTGTTAGTAGCAGAGACGCCAGCGGCGGCCAGCCGGATTTGACAGGTGAGAAAATAAACCGCCGCTTTACCGCAGGGGTCTTGGCTGCACCGGCAGGTGTAAGCGGCTCTGCTGCAGGAAAAAAAAAAAAAACTTGTTGGCTTTCTATGCATTCATGATGTTTTATATTCTACCATCTTGAGAACTCTACAGAACTGAAAACGACTTTTCTGAAAGATGTGAATGTGGCTTTCTATACAGTCTTGTACATCTCCATAGTATCTTTGTTCCCTGAGTTGTCTTTATCCGAGGTTGAATATTCCGAAAGTGGGATCTCCAGTAAAGCGGCGGCGTGTCTTCAAAGGCATAAGAAAACATCCCGCGGGATTATCGATGACCGACCTCCTAGCACCGACTGCTGCCGAAGGTTTAGCCACGAGTTGAGCCACACCTATAACACCTTGTGGCTGGGCAGACCCCACCCTCCAACTTTTCTTCGGGTGGCAGGAACGGACATAGACTTTTCCGGCCGATTGAGGACCAGCCCGTCTGACCGAGCTCACCTCCAAAACCTGGGTGCGCTTCGGTGAGTGAGGTGCCGTCGGTGTGCGCCACAGAAGGCACCAAGTGGGCTGCACCGTTGTCACCAAGGTACCTCTCTACCTAGGTTTGAGCAGTAAGCTAGCTGCCATCTGGAACTGAACGCAAACAATTCGCCATCAAGTTGCACCTCACTTTGTTGCACTTGCGCAGTGCTTTTTGCACTTCCGGCACCCTGGTTGCCTCTGTGCGGCATTGTCAATCGTTCATCTTTGGCCAATGGAATTATTCATCTTGTACCTTTGAAACGGCTACACGTACTGCAAGCAACAAGCTCCCTCGCCGAGCCCCCAGCCGTTCCTCGGCCGGCTGGAATAACGATCGCTTTCCTCCTTTACGAATTACCACCACGATTCGTGATACCAATACCCCATAATGTCGTCAGATTACGAGAGAACTATTCTGGATTTTTACCAGCTCCCCAATCCATACCCCGACGAATGGCCAGCCGAGAAGAACCAGAGCGATGCATCCGACGATGAGGACGAGGCCAAGGACGAGAAGAAGGCGAAGCTGCAGCGCCGCAAGTCGCGATACCAGGCACTTGAGAGAGCCGTCAGTGACCGACGCAGCATAATCCCCGGCGCCCAGTCGGACAAGGGAGGTGTCGCCAACATTGTCCAGCGCGACGAGCCCGATCCCTTGGGCACCACCGACAGTGTCGTCAGGACCCTCCGCCAGCTGGGAGTCCCCATTCAGGACGATCCGCGCTTGCGTACGTGGGCTCGATATTGTGATAATGACCAGCAAGACTGACATGCGTCCAGGCAATCGATTCCTCCTGTCCTCGACCACCTTCTCTCCCGCCTTGTTCCTCTCGCAAATGCACGCGACTGCCGACACCCAAAGCTTGTTGACCGGCCTGGACATGCTGTCTCAGTCAATCGATCAAAAATCCGCATCACTTAAGGTTCTGGTGGAGACCAACTTTGAGCGCTTCGTCAAGGCCAAGGCTACCATTGATAATGTGTACAAGGAGATGAAGTATCGCGGCGCCGAGCCGCCTCCGCCGCCAACCACGGGCCGTGCTCGAGCTCACTCCCGCCACGCGAGTCGCAGCAGCTTCCGAGGCAGCAACGGCGGCATGAACCTCGCCGCATCCCTCGGATCTCCCACCTCGGACGCTCGTAAGAAAAACGCCCTCGTCAAGGAAAGCGAATACGGAGTCTCGGGTATCAAGGCGCCTCTTCTGGATGTCTCTGCCAAGGCGGAAGATGTGTGGGGTCCGGCGCTGGGAGGACGTGAGAAGGAGGAGAATCTCAAGGTTGTGTCGGCGAACCTAGATCAGTTCAAGGAGTACGTCGAACTAAGCTCTGCCATTGCCGAGAGCATCAAACGAAGAGACTACGAGAGTCTCGTGGAGGAGTACAACAAGGCGCGCAAGTTCTCAGACGATGCAAGAGCACTGGCTGCAAACGCCGCTGCGGGCTCTTCGAGCCAAGCCGACATCTATCAGATTGTTTTAGCGGCACGCATATGGCACGATGTGGACGAGCAGATCCAGGCCTTCAAGCGGGACGTGTGGCGGAAGCTCGTCACCCTTCACGGCGTCTCCAAGGCCGACAACCTAGGCCAGCAAGACCAGCACATGGAGCTGATTAGTCTGCTTCTCGAGCTGGGCGTTGACGACAACCCCATCTGGGTCTGGCTGCTTAGTCGGTACGACCACCTCAAGGGCAAGATTCAGTCGACGTCAGACCGCTCCAAGGTCGAGGTGGAGGTTCTACGACGACGCCTGGCCAACGCCGACAAGCCCGGAGCGCACGCGGTTGCATCGCATCTGCGGTCTCTGGGGCGCGCGGCCGTGGAGAACAAGATAGCCTCGGCTGACTCCGCCGACGTTATAGAGCTGTGGGAAAAGATGCTGGCGTTCTTATCGAGTATCCTATCGGCTCAAGGCATCCTGGGAGAGGTGTTGGACTTTTGGCAGACGGTTCAAGGCTTCCTGGAGGGCAAGATCCAGCGCACGCTGCCTTTGGGGTACAATGGAGAATCGCAAGTCCATCACCAGCTACCAGAGGAGCGTGCTGGAGATTTGCAAAAGGGCACGCTGGAGCTAGTCGACCTGATTCGCGAAACGGTCTTTGCCTTTTTCGCGGGCCCGCCACCCGAGGATATCTCGTTGCTCTTCTCGCCCCTCCCCCTATCACCCAAGAGTCCGCCCTCTGCAGGAGCCGGAAACCTCACACCCACCGGGTTTTTGGATCCTCGGCTGAACCTCGACCCTAACAACATTCCTCCTCCTTCGCCCAAGCGCGGCGAGACGTGGGAGAAGCTAGCGTTTTGGCCTCCGTGGTCCAATTCCGTCAGTGGTGTCCACTACCTTTCCAAGATGCTCGCCCTGGTAGGTTCGGGCGCGTCCGACTTGGCGAGCATCGGCCCCGTTGCGAATGGACTGGACCCTGGCGTCTTGGACAGGCTCAAGACGCTTGTCAACATTTCCAGAGAACGATGCGTCACCGCTCTTTGCGCAGCATGGAACAAGGACGCTGAGAATATCAAGTTCGTAGAGGACTGGTACCGATCACCGGAACTGGGCGACCTCACCCGCATGCCCTCGAGCTTTTCCGCCTTTGAAGGCGCGTTGCTTACCGGCATGCAGAAGATCCTGTACATATCCGAAGCCATGTCAAAGCCTGGTGCGGGGGATATTGTCCTCCCACCGCCTAGTAAACTCTTGCAGATGGTCAGAAGCCAGTACGTCACGACGCTCTATAAGGCGTTGAGCGGCATGGTGGAGAATGCCGAGCGATCTGTCAAGAAGGCCGACGACGATTGGACAACGGATATGGACGGCACCATTGTCGCCTCCGCCGCGCCCGCTCCCAGCGGCGGAAGAGCGACACTCGACGCGGGAGACAGGGTGAGTTTGACTTGTATCATTTTGAAAGAACTACCTACTGACATACTGTATAGAACGTCCGTATGCTCCTTACTCTCAGCAATTTGCAGTCACTCCGCGCCAAGGTCGTGCCAAGTCTCAACTCGCAGTTTGAGAATGCCTTCTCGGTCAAACTTAGCGATGAATCCAAAACGATCAAGGATGTTCTGGGCCAGATTGACGCTAGGCTCTTCCAATCATACACCCGCCCATCCATTGAGGAGCTGCGCAACATTGTCAGAGCCGGGGTTGCCTCGCCCGACTGGGTCCCTGAGGTGGGCCAGAAACCGCGGGAAGCGAGACCCTACGTCTACGAAGCTCTCCTCAGTCTCGTGCTCGTCCACACCCAAGTCTCGACCACGGCACCCACGCTCACCTCGCAGGTGCTCTCGTACCTCCTCGAGCAAACCAGCCGTGAGCTTCTCGAGGCGTTCCGCACGCGACAGAGATACACCCTCGAGGCGCTGATGCAGGCCACCCTGGACGTTGAGTTCGTCGCCCAGACGCTCAGCCAGTACACCACCGACCGTGCCTCGGCGCTCCAGAGCGAGATTTACCAGGAGCTCGATGGGCGCACCGATAACGACGCGCGCGCGCGCCTGCAGAGCGAGCTTCCCGAGATGAGGAGCGTGTTGAAGCGACTGCGTGAGGCGAGCAAGAACGAGTTTACGTGCTTCAGGAAGATCAAGCGGCCCGGCATCGGACCCTCGAGGACGGGCACCGGTGACTCTGCGGCGAGTATCAAGGGCTAGTGGCCCCCTCCTCAGTGCAGAATGAGAAAGTCAGGTATCTGGGCCTATGATTAGGTTGTAGGGGATGAATTGGTTATGAGAGAGCCCTTGGGTTGGGAGGTATTGGAGGTTCCGGGGTGTGATGCCCTGGGCCTACATTGCGCTTGGGGAAGAATCGCGCCCTGCCAGATTGGGGCGGGCGCATGAGTGATGAAATGTTCAATGTCGGATAGCCCATGTTTTGCAATAAACAAACGAATTCAATGTACGTGGTCACGATGCAGTGAGGTGTGAAGTTGAGGGCAGAAAATGTGATCTTGACTGAAAAGGGGGGTATCTATCTACCGTGACGAATTCTAAGTGAACTTTTGGTGTGTCTTTTACGACAGCCCCATCTATCTAAAGAGAAGAAGCCAACTGTGAAAACTTTTTTTTGCTTTTCCATGAGTCCCTTGTTCCCCAAGTGCCAAAAGTCTTTCTGCCAACCCAAGTCCTGTGGTTTCCTTTTTTGGTTCCTTTGTATGGGGTTTGCTTTCATGTCGCCAATGAAGACATGTCTCCAATGGAGATGGTGGTTGTGGTGGCGATAGTAGTCGTACATTCATTAAGGGTGCTTTTTTTTTGTGTTTCCTTGAAAAGGTATCTTTTTTTTCGTTTCAGTCATTCATCGTGAATTGTGCGTGCGTGATGAACGCAAGCAGGACACTGCCTCTTTGTATTTGTATCAGCAGCAGCTTACTGTCCGGTGTAATGCCGCCACGACCAATCCCCATACTAGGGCAGATCAGTCGGCAGCGACTCTGTGGGGGTAGGGGCGGTGGGAGAGGCTCCCGTCATGGGGGTGTCGGGGACGGGAACTGGGGAGGCTGAGGCCACGGGGACGGTGGAAGGGTGTGGCGGAGCGTGAGGGTGAGGGGGCGGAGGTGTGCTGTGGCCGGAGCTGGAGGCCGTGACGGCGTGG